GATACTGAAGTCAATATGACAACTAAAAATAAAGATTAGAAAAAAAAATACACTGCAGCTATTTGTTCCAGAGTTGTTATGTTTACCCATACCAGTCCGGCTCTCCATTTAGGCTGTCCCGTAGTACCAGATGTTCAGTCATTTTCAGTAACATGGTCACATCCCAGAAGATTTAGCCCCTTGCAGCAACTATATTAAACACGCCTGTATTTTTCCACTGCAAAAGGAAGGCCGCATCCCACTGCAGCCAGTGATGGATGGCAGGGACAAGTGCCAAGTGCTTGCGGGGAGTTCCACATAGGCCCTTTCATAGCACCCTTGAGGCAGGAAGGGGTTTTGCCAGAGGCTGAAGCTGGAACTCGTTTGGGAGTGCTGAGGAAGGGAAATTGCGGCACCTGCCCCTCTCTGTCCATCTGCAATCAGCCAGGCACTGTGGCCCTCATTTTGTGGGTGTAAAACATGGCAGGTACTGGGGTTCCAGGCAAGATTGGGAGCTCCTTGAGTTAAAAACAGAACGAACCACGTCAGGCTCAGGTATTCCCCGAGTTGAAAACAGCCAGAGGCTGGGGCAGTACTCAAGAGAAATATCATACGTTAGCTCTACCTGAGCCCTCCTTGGGTGTCCTGAGGTGCCCATGGGCAGCACTGGCTCCTGGGCCAGGCCAGTCCTCGCTGTGGTCAGTGGAGCTCCCTCGAGGTGTGGGGATGTGCCGCTGGCCTCTGGGAGCTGGACAGGCCCTCCCACAGCTGCTGCAGGCAAGGATGTGGCCAGCGCTGCTGACAGGTTCTGTCCCCACGGTGTCTCTTTGCACTGTCCCCATGGTGTCTACACCTTGTAGACAGGTTTGAGGAGGTGTCCATTCAGGAGGGTCAAAGCGAAAAGTGGTCTTTAACAGGCCCAAACTAGAGGTATTGAAGCGCTCTGGCCCATTGCACAGCCCCTCAGCTGTCCACCCCTCATGTTCCTTGCAGAATGGGTTGCGCAGGAGCGTCTGGCCCAGGAGGGCCTTTAAAGCTGTAGGGGGGGAGCTGACCACATTTTGCCTTTGCAAGGACTAGGGTCTGTATGTACCCGAGAGATGATGCTGGGCCACTTCTGGGAAATGGGGACGTGCCACCTTCGCCAAGCACCAGGCTAAGCTTGTGGTAAGCCACCAGCTTTGCCATCACCAACCACTGCGGACTGCAAGGCCACAGGCGTGTGTTTGGAAGAGAAGACCCCTCTATGCGTGCTAAGTGCCTTGCTGCCAGCGACGAGTGCCACAGTGTTGGGTTTCCTGCTGTTGATTTTTGCCATGCAGCTGGATGGATGTTTTGCCACCCTGCTACTCCTAGAGCTACTGAGTTGTTGTATTCTTATACAGATAAAATATGAATCAGGCTACACCCAATTAACTCACTCAGTTGTAAAGACTTAGTTGTCAAAATACACTTTTCAAGTTGCAAAAGGGCTTGGTGGTCTGTCCTGCTGCTGCAAGATGATCTCATGTGAGTGGAAGGGTCCTGTGAAATCAGGTTGCTTTCCCTCTTTGCTGGTGGATGGCCTGCTCACTCTGCCCTTCACTGCAGGCACAATTAATCCTTCCAGCAGTAGTGAGCAAAGTCCCAGGTCTTGCTGTGTTATAATGCATTGCAGTTACATGGCTTACTGCTTTTTAATTCCTTCATCATGGGCTTGGAAAACAGCTGGTTTATCTTTGAATCAATCCTGTTAACTCTCAGGAGGAGAGCAAAAAAGTTGTGATTTGAGGCTGTTTTTGACAAAATCATGCTATGGGACATACGAGTTTTGATTGTAGCCCAGCTTTGCCAGTGTCAGAGGCCACATTCACAAGTCAAGGTTTCTTGCTTAAAACTTCTCATAAGACTTGAGTTGTTGCAGCTGAGCAATGGCCAGCACTTGAACTTGAGTCCCGTTACTCTGCGCCTTGCCACACAGTTCTAAAAAGCAGCCAGCGCTCGTACCTGGAGTAAGAGAATCTCCTGGTCATGCTGAGTTCATGTGCAAGTCAGGTCTGGCAGCCAAAGTCCCCAGAGAGGTGACTGTCCCACCAAACCGTAACGCTCCCAGCCTTGTAGGTGATCTACATCCCCCTTTCCCTTCCAGAGCTCTGCGTTATTCCTTCTCATCTGGCTCAGTGTGCATTTGCTGGTGACTGTTTTCTCCTGCTGTTCAGAGAGGAAGCTAAAGCTGCTTCTAACACCTTCTCTCCACCAACAGCCTCATGAGGCCTCTGGTGAGGAGCTGCAGCTCACCACCCACCTTCACTCACCTTAGCTGTGGCTAAATCCAAGCGAGATGTTCGTGAGAAGCAATTTGCTTTTACAGCAGTCCCAGGACATCTGCTGAAGGCATAGCAAGCTCTGCCACGCATCACCAAGATCTCTCCAAGACTCTGATCTAACCCCACCTAACTCATGTAACAAGGGACAGAGAGGGGAGGATGCATTTTTTTTTTGGAAAGTTAGTGAAAAATTATGGAAGATGGCTAAAAATCAATGGCTACAAGAGTTGAATGTGTATGCCAGCTGCACTGGTGGTCTCTTGGTCTGCAAGAAAGACAGTTTTGACAGATCAGGTGTAGCCCTAGTGTCAGCTATATATAGGGAGTATATGACCAAGTATGTATATATATATATGTATCCTATATATATAGGGAGTGTATGACAATGTGTAGGGAGAGTGCCTTAAAACTAAAAGTGTGCTCAGGGGCTGTACAACACGTCTGTCCAGCCACTATGGCTCAGGGTGTCTGCTATTTCCATCTGTGAATCCCAGCTGAAGGGAACTAGGAAACACCTATAATCCTGCCAAAAACAAAATCCAAATAGTCATCGGCAGGTCTGAAGATGAGAGAGATCCTTACTCTCTTGCTTAAGTTAAAGGAACATTTCTCCTTTCAACAAAAGTTCCATAATAGCAATGTTGCATGGGCAGGTTTACTAGGCAAGACACAGGCCCTGGTAGAAGTGAACAGGCCCTTTCCTTGGCAGGGCTGGGAGTGTCCAGCCCCAGCTGAGTCAGTGCTGTAAGCACACAGAGAAGGTGCTGCAAGCAAATTCTGGTGTTCCCCCACAGCAGCCACCAGGACCATCCCTGTGCATTGGGGTGCAAGGGCGCAGGACTTCCCCAAGCCAAAGCTGCTCTACATGGAGGAGGGAACGTCCCTGCGTGAGGGAGGACCTTGCAGAAGTCTTTCCCTGACCCCTCCTGTGCGTCTCCTCGGCCAGTGGGAAAGGAGCAGAGCTGATGGCTGCGGTGGTAACTCATTAACAGGCCACCCCGCAAGCCGAGGAGGTCCTGCCACGCTGCCCGGTACCCGCTAGCAACTCCACTCTGATGCTTCATTTCACTTTGTGACATTTTTATAGACCTTTTGCCACAGTGTTCATTTCCCATAGGCTTTTTTTTTTTTTAATTCCCCTTTATGGTTTCAAATGTAGACAGAGAGTGTGATTTAAATCCCCCATGTTTTGCTCTCTATCAGATACCACTCTGCAGCTCAGCCATCTGGTCAGCTTTGAAAATTTTAGGTAGAAATGCCCTCTCTTTTGGCAAAGGCCTATAATGAAGTCTCACCAAATAGACCTGAAACTGGATTTCCGTGAGCCATCCATTTTGCCTGGCCTTTTGCCATATGGTGAGTTTTACCCCACAGAGGGGAATTGATGCCCCATGGCAATTTTCCCTCTTTATTGCATGCTCTTTAGCGCAGGCATGAAGACGACATTGCCAGTGGCATGAACAGTAACCAGAGATGTAGATGTTGAAATCATATTATATTTATTACATACATGAGATATAAAAACAAATTACCAAAATAATATCATTTTCTGTGAGTCCACAGGACCTTGAAAGAAAAATACATAAGTAAAGCGGATTGGTAGACTTGGGCTTTTATGGTCTTGCACATGTTCCTTTTCTCTCCCCTCACACTCATGAACAAAATACACTCTATGCAATGTGTTTAAAGATGCTTTACAGAAAGATATACTTTAGTGCTGTAAACGGTGCTATATTCCATACTGGTGTTAATGAGGAAGTATAATGACCATAGATATTGCAAACAAAAACACGGAAGAAAACAAATCAAATGTTCAGTTTTAAATACTAACATAAAAATAAAATTAACTCCAGGCCCACCATGAATCACTGTCTTGTGATATGTGAATGAGAGTCCTTTCTGTCCTCAGAATCCATTGCTTTTCCTGCAGGCAGTTTTCTCCTCTGGCGATTGCAGCTTTTTATTTCCAAGTCTCTTCTTCATTTTATGCTGTTTGTGAAGTCTTGTTGGAGTCCTACCCATGGGGTCCAAGTGCTGGTCTGAAATTAGGACTTCAGTGCAAATACATTATCTTTCAAATTGCATCCTCAGATACTCTGAGTGGCCAGTGCCAGGCCGGCCGTTCCCTTTATACCGTTAACGCCGTCCACAACGGGGCTTTCAGGAGTGCTTCTGTTTCAATAAGTATTTTCTCTTGTGCCACTTCCAACGACTTCTTCCCCCAACACAGTTAGGCTTTCCATGCCATGAAGTGGCAGGTAGTAAAGTGCTTTATACAACAACATATTTACACTGGGATAGGTTCATTCTTTTAACCCTTCATGGTCAAAAGCTCAGGACCACTGCACCCTCGAGAGCCGGCCCCTGTCTAAGAGCACGCGGTGGATGGGACCTGCCTGTCAGCAGGCTGGTGCACAGGCAGCGACCCCCTTCCCTCCTGCCCGTGGCTGCAGCCTCGGGGCAGCCCCAGCACGCGTGCAGCCGTGCCCAACTGCAGCCCTCTCTTCCCCACCGCACACGGGAGCAAATTCGGGGGGCAGTCCCCTGCTCTGGAAGTTGCTCAGGATTTATCCCGGTGACAGTGGGGCTTCCTTTGCCTCTCTGGGGTGACAATTGAGTCCCGGGTGGCTTTGTAGGAACTATTCCAGAATTGCACTGGAGTGGGACAAGAACCCACCCTTGCTTTGATTTCCTTCAGCATAGCTGTGGCCACCCTTGCAAAGAAGCTAAGGAGAGTAAATGAACATTGGCTGGGAAGGGTTAATTCAGACAGTGCCTACAAAGCAGAACACCTCGCTACACATTTGGACACTATTTTCTTACATTCCAGTTTTCATCCTAGAGGTCTCCTCTCCGCGAAGGTTGCATTCTGTGCATAAAGAAAGGCCTTAGGTGGTTGTGCACTCCTAGTTGCAGTCTCGTTTCAAAATCTCCAGGACCTTTCTTCCCAGGGCTGACTTCCACTGCTGGACAAAGCTCTTCATGTTGACCACGAGCCTGCCGGTCCGCACATCCTCGTGTCCGGCTACCAGGTACTCCAAGCCTGCAAATGATCAAGGTGGTCAGGGGCTGCACAGCTCAGCACTGTTACAAACATCACTCCTCACATTTGTCTGCCAGGAAACCTATCTACCTGGAGACAGAAACGGGACATACACACTTTCTCAGAGGGAAAGCAAATATTACATCGGCTGCTGTCTCGGGAGGACTTTATTTGACTTTTAATCTGACTTTATGGAAGTGCAAAAATAAAAGGAAACAAATGACTGGGATGCCGCAAGCCAGGGCTTGAGCTCTGTGTTTTATCCTGTGCTGCTCCCAGGAACTCTGTGTTTATGTCCGTTTGTGCTTGGCAGAGCTGAAGCTGTAAAGGGGAGTTTGTTCCCTGGAAGGTGGCTGAGACACTGAAAACTTCAGTGATCCCTGTCCTCCTGGAAGCTGCCCTGCGCCTGTGCCTGCGTGTGTGTGTGTGCAGTAAATATCCCCTCATGGGGCTCTTACGCACATTCATCATCTGAGCAGCAGCCTGCAGAGATTTGATAAACGTTCGGAGTCTTTACTTCTTGCCAACATCTCTAAAAGCCTGTTCGGTATCACTCCAGCATTGTGAAACAGAATAAAAATATGCTTTTTTTTTATTTTGATCTTTGATCTCCCCTGTGTTCTGAGGAGATGTGATTTCCATTAAAGCTCTACGTCAGGAAATTGTTTTATGTCAGCTTGGCTTTTTATCCTGCTGTTGGTCGTTTATTCATCTGGAGGTCATAAGCTCTCACCCTGAGAGGGGGTTAAATCTGCTAATGTGGTATTGCAACTATCCAGAAATGAATGTGGTAGCTAAAAAATATCATGAGATTTTAGAAAAAAATACTTGGGATTTTTTTTTTTTTTTTTCCTCTTTGATATCTGTGACTCTGCATGATGTGAACAGCTGGTATTTTTGAAGATTTCCCATTAGGACCAAGAGATTTTAGAAACTTCATTATTTCTTTTTAACATGAAAACTGAGATTAATGTGTGACTGTGAACTGAGGGGACTCCAGCAGCTGCACTTCCAGAAAACACCAAGCTTTGCAGTGTAAATCACAGGAGGTGGCAACACTGCAGATACCTTCCCTGACCAACCTGTCCAAGGTTGAAAGAGTGGAAAAGCACTTGCACAGGAGAACTGTTGAGTTAAAGACTGTTCCACTAAACTGTGGATATCTGAGCAAAGAGCCCACTTTTGGCTTTTTTGGTAGACACTTTTTAGCAGCTTAAAATACCAGGCAACAGCCAGATGTTTTTTTCTGACAGCAATCTGGCCAGTGGCAGGAAGGAGGGGAGTAACAGCCAGCGTGCCAAACGCTGCAGAGCGTCTGCCCCTTCACTCTTGCACTGATGTCCAAATGGCAACGGTTTAACTGCTTGTGCCACCGTGGGCCCTCTCACCTCTGCTGGGGAAGGCCAGGGAAACTCCACAGAACTCAGTGGAGCCTCAGAGCTCTGTGCCAGGTGAGGGGCCACCCCATCTATCTGGCATCTGGCAGCTTCCACAGCATTTCTTTAGGTTTCTGGTTGGGCAGCTGTGCCTGGACTTGCATTGCATATGGAAAAAATAAACACCTGTATCTATCTATTTAATTATGGATTTACGGTGTTTTACCACTATCCAAAAATCCTACAGTTTTTAAATGGAAAAGTCCTGCCCAGTGCTGCTTATTCATCTGACCCTTGCACCCGACAAGACTTCCTGCTACAGCTGTGCTCTTGCCTTCAAAGCCAAATACATTCACTCCGGTGGAGATGAAAGCCTGCAAATATTTCATCAATGAATAACCTTTCTGCATGATTCAACCTTGCAGACAGCCCTTTCCTCCCAAAAGAAGTTCCTAATGCTGTGCATCTAAAAGGAAATCTCCATACTTAAGCCTGCATTTTGATAGGGTGATTCCCAAGTGATGTGTTTACACTGCAGGAGGAAAATCCTTTATCTGAATTAGCTGGTAACTTACTTTATCTGGGAGCCATAAAGAAAGGTGTGTCAGCTGGATCTTAGTTTTGCTTTGTTGAAGAAAATCCTGAGTCTGCATTTCCCAATCCCTTCAGAAGGCTGCACACACTGTTTAACTAGCACTGATCACACTTCATTTCAGTGAAATAAGATTAAAAAAAAAGGAAGCTGAAGCTCTCCTCTCACTGCAGAGGGCAGAATACAGTTTCCTCTGTATCTTATGAATGCAAACATTACTTTCAGAGGGACATCTTCCCTTGAGATTAGATGATAACTTCAGAACAGTAGCATGACTCAGATGAGATCTGAGTGTTCATATGGATTCAGATTAGCATATGTTTTGAAAAGACATGTCATATACTCGAGGCATGAAATCTCCCTGTGGGGATACAATGAGCCTGGTAAAGCTGGAACTCAGCTTTATTGCAATTCATGAAGAAAGATTTCATTTTGAAAATCTGTGGAATGAAAAAGTGTTTTTCTGTGGAAATCCATATTTGACAAAGATTGCTTTTGGAATCCAAAAGAAGTAAAAGTCAGTAATTTAATCAACATTAGGCTACAATTAAGCTCACTGGTATAAGGGAATTTGGGGGTGAGAATGAAATATGTGTAGATATGGTGAGTGTGCACTTCTTATGATGTCAAAACAAAATACTTACCGGGATTAAGGATTGGACAAGTGCAGCCTCTGTTAGTCCAGGATTCAGGATAGAGAGTCCTCTTGCCCCGGAGAATCTTTAGCTTTGTAGATTTCAAGACCTTCTTGATCTTCACGTTGACTTCTGCATGGGAGCCTTTATCATGAGCTGATAAGATTTTTGTCTTTATCACTGTTAATTTAAAACAAAGAAAATATAAAGTATTTGTAAGAGTCTCTCTTTGTCTAATGTGGTTATAGCAGAATTAGCCTGATGACCTTTGCTGAAGTTGAGGCTTGGCTTGGCACAGCAATAGGTAATAGGTTCTCCCCAGTTACTGCCAGGAACACCCTGGCTTAGTCTGCCCATGACAGTCTTGCCCAGCAGGCAGCAGGAGCTGTGTATGACCTGATTTCCAAAACTTTTGATGGCCCTGTTTTCTGCTGGAGCTCAGCAAATACTTCTGCTTCCTTAGCGCTTCTGGAAAGCAGGCAGAAAGCCCTGGCTCTAGGGATGGACCCTGAGGCTTTGCAGAGCGTGGTCCTCCTGCAGGAAGCAGCAAGGCAGGGAGAATGGTTGCCCTCGGTGAGCCTCCTGCTGCTGGTCCTGCAGTTTGGCAGAACCACCAAACCCAAGGCAGTGGCAGAGGCTGACACATCAGTGTGGACTGAGGCAAACTGTGGGCATTTCTGAGCTCACAGATAGCAACAGACACACTCCAGCGTTTGGATTTCCCACACATAATGGGCCAGAAACTCAGTGAGAGCTGGCAATCACCTTCCTGTGCTCCTGCATGGCATGGGCCTCGTGCATGGGCAACTTCCAGAGTGCACTGACACCCGCAGAGGCAGGCATCCTGCATGGCAGTACTTTATCTAGGGTGCATACTGTGAAGCATAGGAACCCTTTCCTCCTACAGTGTGGCCTCCCGAAGCTCATGATGAACCCCATAATTCATCTGTGTCTCCTGTTTAGCAGATACCTTTGCATGTTGTGTGATGAAAGGGTGGGAAGCCAGAGTGCACTTTAGATAGATAAGATTTATGAACTTGGCATTTTTGAAACTTTTTTTTTCTTCTTATCTTCCACAAGATTAAACACAGTCACTATCACGATCAGGAAGGAGGGCAAAGCAGAATGAGATTTTTTCCTAATATCACTAAGCCAGGGCTATATTTCAGTGAGTCGCGGCCCCTTGAACTTCCCTTTGCGGGCTGCTCTGCTCTGCAGAGGTTATGGATTATCTCCCAGTGCATTTTCAAGTTCAGTGTGAGATGGAACAGGTGCAAAAAACCTCTGGAAGATTGTGAAGGAAGGGAGTGTTAGAAAAACATTCCTTGCTCTGCAGTGGTCTGAAGGAGCCAGTTTGCTAGCACAGACCTGAGGGGTTTTTGCCCATGAAGCTCCTAGTAGCTGCCAGAGCAGTTCTCAGTGGAGTGTCTTGTGCAGTGATCGCAGTCCCTCCTCTGGTTCAGTTTAATTCAGATTTAGTGGTTTCTAGACAATGCTTCGGGCACCTGGTCTACAGATACAGTTTCAGCAATACGTTTTTAATAATAATTCTTTCAAGTCTGCCTCAGACCTAGACAGGCTCTCAGAGACCTTTCCATCTCTATTTTCCTGCAATTTCCTGAGATTTTAGCACACGGGTACATGGCTGACAAGAGGGGCAATGCTTTCATCAAGCTTGACCAGGCACAATATCTATTTGATACTGAAATACATTTGAAGACATTAAAAAAAGTCCTAGGATCCTTCTGAAGATTAAGCAGCCCAAGGGTTTATATGGCTGAAGCACTCCAGTGCCCGCTACTGAGTGTACGCAGTGGTGGGACAGGATGTGCCCTCGCCACCGTGGGCTCTGGACACTGTGCCCAGGAGCAGCAGCTGGTACCAGGGAAAGCTCTTATACAGCCAAGCTCCCTGGGGAGCTCCGGGAAGGCAGGAAATACCAGGCAAAGGTTCACGTCTGCAAACAAACCTATACTTATAATTTCCCCTTGAAAATGATCCTTGAAATAGTGAAACTGAAGACAGACTGCATATCTGTCCAGTGAAATACCCAGTGAACTTTTATGGGATAGCTATCTCCTCTCCCATGCTGCAGTAAAAGGCTTAACCTATGATATTTCCCTTCTGCAGCCCTTACTGATTCGAGAGCTCAGTGCAACAAGCAGCAGCTCGGACGCTCCTCTGCTCTTATGCAGACTTGTAAATATCTTTCCTTTATACGCCACCCACCACATCGAGCAACTCACCATAGGTGTACTTCATTCCACAGAAAGCCTTGGGATTCCCTAAAACTTGTTCTTTACATTCGCATTTACCTGTGGAAAGAGAATGAAGCAAACATCCATGTGTTGCATGTAACAGATGGGCGTCTTCGCTGAAACTTGGGAATACATCAGGTAAAAAGATACGTAATCTTTGCCTTCAACTTTAGTGAGGTAGATCAGTCTGGAAACAGAGAATGTGAGGGGTCCTCTTAGCCCATCTGATGCCAGTAGGGAATTTGCCAGTATTTCTCTTGTGGTTGGCTCCCTGATAAGCTGCAGACAGTATGTTTTAAAAAGTAGGAAATGGTCAAAATCCCCCTGTGAAGGCCTTGGGAGAGGCAGCCACTGCTGGACAATTCTGGTGGTCTGATTCTTCTCTAACTTGCTCAGCCATAATCGATCATAATTAAGGTGAAGACAAATTATACACTCTGCAGCTGGGCTGCTCCCATCTTGCTACTGAGCAGCGAAACCTCCCCAGCTTTCTAGCTAATTCCTAACCACTGGCAAATGCACCAGCTTAATGTCTCCTTTGCTGTCAGAGACCAAGGGTTTCCCAGTCAAAGACATGATATCCTGTACTATGACCTTCCAGGACTCAGTACTTCAGAGGAGTTTAGTTGTGTTACAGGCAGGTTACCTTGGCAGAAGGTATTCACCCAGTCCAAACAAGCATGATGCAAAAAGCCCAGTTTTCAGACCCAGGTTCAATATACAGTCTTAGTTCAAGGGCAATTATTTTTCATTTACTGATTAAAAAGAAAGAAGACAAAGGCCTTATTATTTTGCATTAGGATGCAAATAATAAGCATGACTTTCCCTGCTGTATTTTCTATACCGTAAAGTCCCAGACAAAATTTTGAAAGGAAATGTACAGGTTAAGGCAGATTAATGACTTCCATGAGCTTAGAGCAAAGAAAACCATTATATACTTGCTTATGTTTAAAATTAAGCTGCCTGGACAAATGACGGGACTTTTCCTTCAATTAACTCAAGTATTGTATCTTCAAGATTTTTTCATGCAGTTTTCTGAAAATGCAGGCAACTACACTTGCTTGCTTGTATGTAATGGCTTTGAGGGAGGGTGGACATCATTGTCATCTGGCTGCAGTCACCAGCACAGGAGCTGCACCCTATGGCCAGGCTGCTTACCAACAACCCGGAGTGTCCAAACTACGAGAAAAGGAGGAAAATAACTTCTCTCCCTGAAACTGAACCTGAAATATGAGGCTATCTGTAACTGTATCTTAAGCTATAATTCATGACAAAATTGTTGTTGAATTGTTGATTCATAAATCTCCTACATCTCTGTCCATTAAACGGAGCATCATGCTCTAAACAATGTTTTCATGTTGTCCAACAAAATGTGTTAGCTCTGGTAAATGTAAAGGCACATTTAAAACATTATGGACAAAATAAAACAAAAAGAGCCTTTAAAAACATACGCAATAGAATTATTAAATGATCTGACTGAAGCTTACAAAAGCTTCCGAGCTTGGGCTGAAAATTCAGGTGGGTAATTCTTGGCTTGCTGGCACCTAAACACTCAGACCAGGTTTTGAGCTTGGAACATCTGCCTGGATTTTACATGTCTTAATATCTGTTGACTGAATGAGCCTTAAGGGTGTGCAGATTGGTGAAGGGGTGCAGGTGACTGAACAGAACGTAACATGAGAACATACGCTCCCTCCTGCAATTAGTTGTGGAGGCGTTAATTACCAGTCAGCGCAAGAGACGGTTTCCACGTCAGCTCCTAGTAAGAGGTCTGGGGCAAAGCAATCTTACCAGAGTGTCGCAGTGCTGAAAACCCTTGCTCGTCCTCCCAGCCCCAGGCTGGCTCGCTGTCGTTGAGCACCGGCTGGAAAGGAGGCACTTCGTGATGCCAGTCTACGTCGGCGCTGTGGGAAGGGAAGGATGCGATAAGCCTTCCTCCTGAGGTGAGCAGAGTCCTCCACCGTCTACCACTAAATACGTTTTCCAGCCAGAACTTTCTCTCCGCATCTTGATTTTATTAAACACACCCAGACAGGAGGAACAATTTTAAGAAGTGAAGAGTTTGCTCTTTGTTGGAGTGGATTGTGAATCCATTTTTGGATTAAAATGCCCTCTAGGAACTACTACAATATCATCAGTACAGGAAAAAAAAAAAATAGAGAAAGATATAAGATCCAGGCAGTCGGCTATTTTTAAAATGTGCCACCATCACTTCAGTGAGCTGTAGCTTGGCTCTACATCCATGGCAAGCAGTGCCGGCTGCATGGCAGCAGTAAAGCTGCTAACAGAGCCTTCATCTCCACTCACTCGGGTCTCTGCAGGGCTCACGTTTCACCCCTGGAGCGGCTGAGGGATGAAACCACAAAGAACACAAGAGATGCTGGCCCCACAGGCGCCCACACGGGCACAGAGGACAACTAACCCAAACGTGCTGCTGACTCGAGCCGTTCTGCTTGTAACTGAAGCAGTGCACAGCCTTGGTTCCCTCTTCACCCTGAAATACTTGACGCCACCCTACGTGGCAGCATTTCCCCCGTGCCTCCCCTTCACACGCCGTGTTGCGGGCCGCACCACCCCCCTCA